GAGCCAGAGCTTTCTGGAGAGGAAGATTCGGCTGCGCTGCTGCCCTCTGGGACTGTAGCAATGCCTGAATCGGATCCGGAAATGACGGCTATGCTTTCCCGGGCTGCCGTGAGGGGTAGGGCTCGAGTGGAAATCTCCACCGTGTCCTGACCTGAACTGCTAACGGAACGTATTGGGCCCTCTACAAGGAGCGTACCAGCAGTATCCTTCGTTGCTCCTCCCGACGATCGGATGTTGATCGCTGCATCGGAGGGTGAGCCAGAGCTTTCTGGAGAGGAAGAATCGGCTGCGCTGCTGCCCTCTGGGACTGTAGCAATGCCTGAATCGGATCCGGAAATGACGGCTATGCTTTCCCAGGCTGCCGTGAGGGGTAGGGCTCGAGTGGAAATCTCCACCGTGTCCCGAGCCCTCAAGGTTGAATGATTGGTTCTTCGGGGTGGCCTGCGCTGGTTCTCAGCACCCCTGCCATTCTTCCCGGAGGAGCATGAGGGGGCTTACCAGGTCGTGGAAAGCACCTTTTTCCACCGGAAACTGACCTGCTAGCTCCTTCTCCCTCACCACCCTCGACATTGGTGCAGCTAGGGGTATACGGGGGTCCCCCTGGTGGAGCGGTCGGTTGCAATGCAGTTGTGTCCTCATACCGCATGCAGCAAATTAGCTCAAAAGGGAAATAAATTACAGTTAATTATGATTAATTACAATTATTTATATCAGCTGCCAGTAGTAACTGTAGCAGAATTAAATTGCAAGTTCACATCAACTCTAGGAAAGGATATTTCCGTGGCCACAGAAAATACTTTCATACAGTATTAATGCATTAGAGCATATAGTAAGGATCAAAATCGTAAAGGGACATTAATTTAATTCAACTTCACCGGTTACCGTTCAAGATGCTGACACAGAAACATATCTTCGGGTGCATCCGTCCCCGAGATTGGTTTGCAGTGATTGACCTGAAGGACGTGAACTTTTATGTGTCGATCCTTCCGAATCCACAGACCATTGCTGCGGTTCGCATTTGAAGGATGAGCATATCATTACAAGGTCCTGCCCTCCGGGCTGTCCCTGTCGCCCTGTACCTTCACGAAAGTTGCGGAGGCAGCCCTTATTCCCCTGAGAGAGCAGGGCATTCACATTCTCAACTACCTCGACGACTGGCTCATACTAGCTCAGTCTCAGAATCAGTTGTGCGAACACAGGGACTTGGTGCTCTCGCACCTCAGCTAGTTGTGCCTTCAGGTGGGAAAAGTGCAAACTCTCCTCGATGCAGAGGATCTCTTTTCTCGGTATGGAGTTGGATTCGGTCGAGCACGCCGCATGCAGGAACGTGCTCAGTCGGTGTTGAACTGCCAGAATATGTTCAAGAGCAGGACCGCGGTCCCACTGAAACCGTTTCAGAGGCTCCTGGGGCATATGGCAGCTGCAACAGCAGTCACGCTGCTGGGGCTGCTTCATATGAGACCACTTCAACACTGGCTCCATGGCGGAGTCCCGAGGTGGGCGTGGCTATGCGGCACTCACCGGGTCCAAGTCACACCAGCCTGCTGCCAAACCTTCACCATGTGGTCAGACCTTGCGTTTCTCCGGGCAGGAGTGCCCCTGGAACAGGTCTCCAGGCATGCTGTGGTTTACACGGATACCTCCACCACTGGCTGGGGGGCCACGTACAATGGGCACGCAGTGTTTGGGATTTGGACGGGCCCCCAACTGCACTGGCAAATCAACCGCCTACAGTTGTTAGCAGTACGCCTTGCCTTGAACCATCTCAGAGGGCGCTTATGAGGCAAGCACGTGCTGGTCTGCAAGGACAACACTGCGACCATTGTATACATCAACCGACAAGGTGGTCTATGCTCCCGTCGCTTGTCGCAACTCGCCCGCCACCTCCTCCTCTGGAGTCAGAGGCATCTGAGGTCGCTTAGTGCCATTTACATTCCGAGCCTGCACAACCATGCAGCTGACGAGCTGTCACGAGCTGCGCTTCCCGGAGAGTGGAGACTCCATCCCCAGATGGTTAAAAAAAAAAACCCACTGTGCAAGGTCAGGGAGGACGAGGAGCAGGTCCTGCTTGTGGCGCCGTATTGGCCCACTCGGACCTGGTTCCCGGAACTAATGCTCCTCATGACAGCCCCTCCCTGGCAGATTCCTCTGAGGAAGGATCTACTGACTCAGAGACGGGGCACCCTGTGGCACCCACGTCCAGACCTCTGGAAACTTCATGTCTGGTCCCTGGATGGGACGCTGAGGTTCTAGGTGACCTAACCCAGGAGGCAGTTGACACCACTTCGGTAAGAGCACTGTCTTCAAGACACGCTTACGCCTTGAAGTGAAACCTGTTCATCGAGTGGTGTCCTTCTCACCAAGAAGACCCCCGGAAATGCCAGATCAGGGTTGTGCTTTCCTTTTTGCAGCAAGATTTGGAGCGAAGGCTGCGATTGCTGATAACCATGACCCCTTGAGAGGGAAGTCGGTAGGGAAGCATGACCTGGTCATCAGTTTCCTTAGGGGAGCCAGAAGGTTAAATCCTCCCCGGCCCCCCTCTATACCCTCTTGGGACCTGTCTCTAGTGCTCAAAGCACTTCAGCAGGGCCCATTTGGGCCTTTGTAGTCAGTTGAGCTGAAGTTTCTATCAATGAAAACTCTGCTCCTGCTTGCACTGGCCTTAATCAAGAGGGTAGGGGACCTGCACGCATTTCAGTTGACGATTCGTGTGGAGCCGGTATCCCCCTGTGTTCTCACCTCAAACGGGTAGAGGCACTGAGAGGCCCCAGTTTAGTAGAGACCTAAGTGGATCCCATACGTGTAAAGTCCACAGTATAGCCTCAGAGCCCGTGTTTCCCCAGCAGACTTCTGCCATTTCCAAGAGGGTTATAATCACTTCTAATCTTCCATATGCACCTAAACAGTTGTTCATATGTGTAAGAGCTTCCGAAACCTCCTTCGGGAAGGATGGGGCTTCCACAACGTTCCTGTTCCAAGTGGTACGGGTACATTTTCCCAGTGTTATCCAATCTCACTGAGTGGGTAGTGCTACGACAACAGTGACTGGTCTTCTTGTTGCGAGCCCCGGCCTACACCAAAAAGGGGCGCAGGACACTAGAAGGGGCAGCATCCATGGCGCTTTGGAAGGGATCCCAATTCGTCGGTCACCGACGTGTCACGTCCCGTTGCCATGGCTGCTGTACCACCGCTGAGCGGCCGGGTCACCGGCTCGGCTCCTCAGAGAAAATCATTGCATGCCAATGTGCATTGGCTCATTTAGTTTACACTCAAAGTGGCTTGGTCTCTCTAAGCGAGATACCAAATCGTCAGTCAATGACGTGACTCCTCCGTTCCCTCCTTCAGGGAATGAGGGTTACATACATAACCGAGATGTTTCAAAACAAAACATAATACTAAAATAAGCACTCCCAAATTCCCAATAATTTTTTACTCTCATTGTTAAAATTCTATGCAAAGCATGTTAGGAACTATATATTCTTTTTAAAATATGTATCATATTTTCTGTTATGTACTTCCAATACAAAAAAAAAAAATATATATATATATATATATATATATATATATATATATATATATATATACACACATATATGCATAAATACACACACACACATACATATATAAATATATATATATATATATAACCCAGAATCATTATTATACTCATACCTTTTGTTCTTTTAATATTTTGAATTGTTTTTAGCTTAATTTTTTTGTTTTCATTTAAATGTTTAGTTTTGAAATATTTGTTGTATGCATTTGTTATTTTTATTTAATTTATTTTATATTCTTAAATGTGTGTGTGTGTATATATATATATATATATATATATATATAGATATATATATAGCATTTATAAAGTTTTAGCTTTTAGTTTTAATTACTTTTTCTTATTTGTAAGTCGCTTTGGATAAAAGCATCTGCTAAATGACTAAAAGTAAAAGTAAATATAATCCACTGTAATTTCTGCAGTGTGTTCTGCCCAACAGCAAACTGGAGTCGAGCAAAAATACTATTTAAACAAAATTGTTTCTTTTAATTTATTATTTTGGGAGTGTTGTTTGCTTTTTTTAATCCTAACTGAATGAAACAAGTTTACACCTGAAAACATGATTTTTCACAAATGTATGTGCACTAAGTTCTAATATGTTATTTTTAAGAAGTAAAAGCATCTTGAATCTGAAAGCTGCTTTTCCTTTTAGCATGTCTGTTGCTGTCTCTTACTTGCTCTTGTGGGACTGTGAAGTCTCTGGAGCAGGTAGACAATGTCCTAGAAGATACATGTGACATGGTGACCCATACTTGGAATTAGTGCTCTGCATTTATCCTATCCAAAGTACACACACACACAGCAGTGAACACACACACACCATGAACACACCCGGAGCAGTGGGCAGCCATTTTATGTTGCAGCGCCCGGGGAGCAGTTGGGGGTTCGGTGCCTTGCTCAAGGGCACCTCAGTCATGGTATTGAAGGTGGGGGAGAGCGCTGTACATTCACTCCCCCCACCCACAATCCCTGCCGGTACGAGACTCGAACCCACAACCTTTGGGTTACGAGTCCGACTCTCTAACCATTAGGCCTGACTTCCCCTAGGCCATACCCTTCCGCCTTCTAACATAGAGAAACCTGGCACTGGTTGTGTGGTAATAACTTACATTAAGATTTCTTATGAAAAGTTAAATGGCACTTTCACAGTGAAGTCTAATACAAAGATAACAAATGACAATGAAATGTTCTACTCTGTTATTTACATTCATAAAGGTTCCGACTATTCTACTGAAGAAAACATCTGTAAGTCACTCAAAGGACACAACTTTTATCAATTATGGGGTTCAACAGACAGCTGACTTTCAGAGGGTAAACATTTCTATTTGTTACATAATGAGGTCTTGGAAAAACTAAGAAATTCTTACAGAGCCACTGTCATTCTTTACACTACAAATCATTGTATTGTATTCATTTTATTTGTTGATTACAGGTATCTAGCAAAATTATAGCTGCTCAGAGTCTCCCAGTTCAAATCGATGAGTACTGGTCTAGAAACAGATCACAGTGCTATTCCAGTGAGGTAATACAGCAGCTCAATAGTTCATTTCTGAAATTGTCACAGTCAAATATCATTTGAAATTAAAAGTGGAAGTTCAGAATTTACTGTACTGTCTTCTGTTCCAACAGACATGGATGTGGAAACGGTATCAGAGAGACAACCGCTACCAGGTAAATCTTTATCATTTTCTGACATGTTTAAACTTGTTACTGTTCAGTGAATCTTGTGAAATCTTAAAATCAGTAATATACAGGGTTATTCTTACACCCTTAGGGTTCAACATTTAGCAGGAGGAGCTCACAAAGAAGACAGAGTACCTATTTCATCAGCCGCTCGACTTTACAAAGCTTGCTCTCTCAGGTACGTTCACCTTCAGTTTGATAAATTCAACATTTGTTAATTCATTCATTCATTGACTAAACACAATTCTTTCTCAACTTTCAGAGGCTGCATTCAATACAGTGCCGAGAAAATTAGTTGCTTGATTACGAACCTCAGCTTTACGCCCTTGAAGACAACTTTGATAATTGTGTAGACCTGGATCCCATAGACTTGCCTTTGAATGAGTTTGATCCTGAGCAGCTCTCTAATCTTGGACCAGCATTTAAGCATCTGGCTTCTATATGTAGCCCAGGGACAATGTCAAAACCAGAAGTGATGAAGAATGGGACCAGATAGTCTAGTCTTCAGGAGGAAGATGTTTCACCTTCTTATTCAGGACCGACATTTTGAACAGAAGGCTAATTGTTGGAAACAAAATCAGTGGAGAGATTTAAAAAATGTCCTTCATAGATAAACTGCTCAGTTTGATTGTGATTAGAATAATCTTTTTGTTCATATGTTGTTGTTATGTCTTAAATAGGTTGGTATGATAGCATCATTTCTCTCTGAATTTCTGTGAAAAATGGCAGTTATTCAAACATGCAAACATTTACACACATTCGGTCAAACATTCGGTCACAGAATGTTGAGAGCATATTTTTGCAACCGAAATTTCTTAATTGTCCACTTATACAAATGGTCTCAAATCTTGCCATTTGTGAGTGGAATTCACCTTTTGAGTTTTATTTTGAGATATATTTCAAGCGCAAGTAAAATGCACCTGCAAAGAAAAGTTATTATTACTGTCAGGGTCTGGCGTCTGGTGTTCTCCCTCTCACCCCTAGAGGTCGCCATCTCCCATCCTCCCGGACTCCTTTTCCGTTACCTTGACTCCACACACCTGTGCACACACTCACACACACACACAGCTGTTCCTCATCCTGAACTCCATCACCTTGACTCCACACACCTGTGCACACACTCACTCACACACAGCTGTGGCCCATCCTGAGCGCTATTTATGCGCCTTCCCCACGCCACTCTGGGCGGATTAGTAATTGTTTGTACGGGACTGATGCCAGCCCTACGTGGCCGTATGGTGTCGGAGTCTTCTGTTCCTTGCCTGTGTCTCAGAGTTTTAGCTCTGTTTGTTTTCTGTTTTTACTTTGTTTTCCCAGCAGTTAAATAATGCCTGCATTTGGACCCAAACCCATTGTTTACACGGTGTGCTTTCCTGACCGCGCCATGACAATTACCTCAATTTCAGAAACTGCAATGATCTATATTTAATTCATGTTTACATATTTTAAAACATATAATGCAATTAAAATATTGTACTCAGGGTTACATAGAATTTTATCTTTATTAATCTTTCCTTAGTTGTACTGCCTGTTTTGTGAGAGGATTGTATACCTTAACATTTGAAATTTAAATGTCTTTTTATCCTTACACAATTAAAATGTAGAAAAAAAAATCTACAAAAATGTGAAGGAAATCATGGAATAGTCCAAAAATTAATCATTTACCTGTAGCAATGTATTTTTGCCTTTGATCCAGTGATTGAAGTAGAAAAAACTTGGAGCCGATTTCTTACCTTATTTTCTTAATTAAAAGGTTTGCTTAGTGAATGTTTTCTTTTGAGATCTCTATAACCACACAACTGTCTTACCTTAACCGCAGACCAAGGCGGCAGACAGCACACCCTGTTTGTTTTCTTTATTTTATAAATGCACAAAGTTCTGTTGTTATTATGTGTGTATACAAATAAAAGTAGACCCTTTACAGATTCGATTAATGTATTGCTCTTATCTGTAAGATCAAAACTGAAAGTGTAATTTAAGTTATTTTCGGTGTGATCAGGAGAAGATGCCTCAAAACGCGTATCCGCGTTAATCGACCTCAGAGGGTTAAGGGCAGTCATGGCCTATAATGGTTAGAGAGTCTGACTTGTAACCCAAAGGTTGCGGTTTGGGACTCGGTACCGGCAGGGATTGTAGGTGTTTGACACAGTCGAATATTTCATCGGCTGCTGCCATCATGCGCTTTATAAAAAATGAATACATGGACTCTAGTGCCATCGTGTTCAACTGTGTTTCAGACTAATGTGTTATAAACTCTTCTTCTGTCTCTCAACTATTTCTTCTTCACAACGATTTTCCACCATCATTTAGAGCTGTAGCGCCACCTAAAGCTCGAAGAGGTACTGCTGAACTTCACACCCACGGAGCAATGATCTGGCTACGCGAGACAGCATTGCAGGTAGATTTCTTCAAGCGTCTTGGAGATGATGATGGCACTGTTCTTACGGATTTCATTTGACTCAGCTTTTCTGTATCTTCATGTAATCCCATGTGGACTCGATGATAATGAATTTAGATCTCTGTATGAATGTGAACCATGCCGTCCATACTGACTGACTCTTCTGCGTACAAAAATCACAAGTTCCCTGAAAGACGGGAATGAGACATTGCGTCAGGAATCTGACGCGACGGGCACTCCCTTCCTTTCTTAAGCTACCTGAAATTTTATTGCACAACGCCAGTGAAGTTGCACTTCATACTGGCCAATGCAAACCAAGACGGCGAAAAAGGGGCGGAGCCTCGTCGCTATATAATGCGCCGCCTTGGCGGCATGAACTCAGAATCTTCCGACTGAACTACCAGCACAGCAGATCTGAACAGTGAACATGACCTCGTACGCAATGTCTCGTTCCCGTCTCTCAGGGAACCGAGGTTACGAAAGTAACCTGAGACGTTCCCTTTCGAAGACGGTTCATTTCGACATTGGGTCAGCAATCTGACGCAATGGGGACTGTATAGAACAATGCTGTGAGAATAGCGAAGAGAGCTCAGCCTCAGCGGAGCTGACAGTGCACTACACACCAAACACTCTTTAACCAATCACAGACGACCCCCTGACAGGCCCCCAGGCGATTAGATTTATATTCCTGCCCAGAGAACCAATCAGATCACTCAGAATCCAAACTCAGCCGCTTTGCTGAGAGACCACTAATGCCGTGGTACTAAGATAGAACGTTATATGCAGTATGCATATATATAAGCATGTAATGCAAAGTATAATAATGCAGACACTGGATGTGAGCAGTGCGGCCGGGCACAACAATAACAGTATACACACTCAGCTAGCAGCCGTAGCCGGTACTAGTGCATAAATATAAGAGGCCATAAACAAGCTGGTGCACACCGCGAGTACAGAGACGAAATGCCGTCTTGTGCCTCGCTAACCCTTAAGGAGTAATACAGTGAAAGGGCGAAGCGCACGATAACACTATGTGTCACAAGCTCGCTCCAACGGCACTACGTGAGCACCACTGTCTGGGTACGGTGGTTTCCCCACCTCCGAATTCCAACTATATGACCTAGTCAAAACCATATAGAGTCAAGTGGCTAGAATCCGCATGTGGAAGCACAGGTCGAGCTCACCGACAAGACCTGTGAGGCCAAGGTGCACACATCCAAATTATAAAATCTGGCGAAGGTATTCAGCGAAGACCATCCAGCCGCCATACAAATGTCTACAAAAGGATGTTAGAAACGCCCTTAGTCCAAGCCCACGAGGAGGCGACCGCTCTCGTCGAATGAGCTTTAACGCCAATAGGGCTATCTATACCCTGGATAGAATAAGCCAAAGCAATCGCATCGACTACCCAATGAGATAGCCACTGCTTAGAAAGAGGCTGCCTTTTAGTTCCGCCTCCAAAGCACACAAATAGCTGCTCAGATTGACATAACTGAGCCGTGCGGTCAACATAAACACGCAAAGCTCGTACCGAACATAGAACATGATGAGGGGCGGGGTCCAAGGAGGCTCTGGAGTGAAAGCAGAAAGCATCACCACTTGCGCTCTGAACGGCGTCGAGAGCGACTTGGGCACGTAGCCCAATCTTGGTTTAAGTCTGACATTACAATCACCTGGCCCAAACTGCATGCAAGCAGCATTCACAGATAGGGCCTGTAAGTCCCCCACGCGCTTGACCGAAGCAAGGGCGAGCAGCAGAGCGGTTTTAAGCGAGAGCTCCTTCAGACCAATAGACTGAAGCAGCTCAAAAGGTGGCAGAGCCAGTGCTCTCAGCACCAGAGCCAGATCCCAGGATGGCACAGTGGGAGGGCGAGATGGTCTCAGCCGTCTCGCACCTCTCAAAAATCTGATCACCAAATTGTGTTTACGAACCGATCGCCTATTGATATCAGCGTGAGAGGCTGAGATAGCTGCAACATAAACCTTGAGAGTGGAAGGCATACTGCCGCCGTCCATTTGCTGTTGCAGAAAGCCCAGAATGTCAGACATGGGACAGTTCTCCGGGTCGCAGCCATTCGAATCACACTATTTAACCAAGACTGCCCATTTAAGAGCATACAAGCATCTTGTAGAAGGAGCTCGCACCTCCATAATCGTGTCCATCACGCGGCTAGATAATGAGCCTAGGTTTACTTGTTCCCACACACCATCCGCACATGCAGTTTCCACCATTCGGGGTTGGGGTTCCATATCAAACCGTCCACCTGAGAGAGGAGGTCCTGTCTCGGCAGAGTCTGCCACGGGGAAACCGTCAGTATCTCAAGCAGGTCGGGAAACCATGGCCTTTTTGGCCAGTACAGAGCGACTAGAATCACTGGCGCCCTTCTCCTCTCTGATTTTGTGCAGCACTTGTGGCAAAACTTGTGTCGGCCACGGCATTGTGAGTGCGTCCCGGCCAGGGGAGAACGCGACAGAGAGAAGAACAGTGGGCAATGCGTGTTCTCCTCTGTCGCAAACAAATCAACTTCTGCCTTCCCGAACTGCTCCCAAATCAGTCTCACTGACCTGGGGTTCAGCCTCCATTCTCCGTGAGGAATCCTGTTCCTCTATGCCCCCATACCTGCATGAGGAAGCTCTGGAGGGCTAAAAAGGGTGCTCTCAGCTCGAGGTGATTTACGTATGTGGCACGTCCTCTCCGACTCCGTCCAGGAGCCTCATTGCTTTGGAGCGTTTCAGAGCTTCTGAGAAGTGCTCCGCGATGGCCTCCACGGCATCTCTAAAGAGGCCGGAGGGAGACAAAGGTGCTTTGAGCAGAGCCTTCCTGTCCTTCAGCGCTGTCAGCGTCAGCCACAGATGCTGGTGGAGCACTACCATATAACCCAAGCTCCGTTCGATTGCCTTTTTTGTGGCTTTTAAGGCGAAGTCCGCTGCCACGCGCAGATCTTTAAACACCAAAGTACTTTAAATGCCAAGTGCCGAAATCACCTCTCCCGAGGCAACGTATGCTTTGTCCGCAATGTGGGTGGTCAGATGGCAGGGTTTTGATGGCAGCATCACCTCCGCTTTCAGAGAGGGGCAGAGGTGGGCGGTGACAGACTTCTTGACGGGCGGAATGCGCATATAACCCCAGGCTTCTTCTCCGTCGACTTTAGTGAAAATCTCTGATCCACTGGCGTGGGTGCGAGCCGACTGGGGCGCCACCCACACCTTAGCGACTTCGTCGTGCAGATCAGGAAGTAATGGGGCTCGCTTCCTCAGAGTGGCAGTTCGGCGGCCCGAGGAAAGGAACCATGAATCCAGCTTACTCTTAACTGGTTTGTCGGGGACTTCCACTCCAGACCGAGATCCCTCACGGCCCTGGTGAAAATCCGGATGAGCTTGTCTTGAAATGCGGTGGGCCCCTCTACTTCAGAGTGCTCCTCTGGAGTGTGGGCCCAGTCCTTCTCGGAAGCTGTTAGAGACATCGCTTCACCAAAGTCGTCACCAGCGGCTCACTGGCGGCAGTGGGACGCTGCCGGGAGAAATCACCAAGTGCTATATTCCTCTGGGTCCTAAGTACCCGCACTGAGAACTCCTCGCAGTGCAGGCAGTCGGACCCGACGATTGCTGCCTCAGCATGGGTGAGACCTAGGCACAGGATGCAGTACTCGTGGGTGTCTGGAGCATCGATGGGTCCCGAACACAGCGTGCAATAGCTTGACATGCTGGAACGCCAAGAGGGAAGTCCGTCTTCTTGCGTCTTCTCCACAGCTGTCTTGAAGTAGGATGCTTGAAAGAGGAAGATTCTGAGTTCATGCCGCCAAGGCGGTGCATTATATAGTGGTGAGGCTCCGCCCCTTTTTTGCCGTCTTGACTGGCATTGGCCAGTATGAAGTGCAACTTCACTGGCGTTGTGCAATAAGATTTCAGGTATAGGTTATGAAAGGAAGGGAGTCCCTGTCGCGTCAGATTCCTGACGCAATGTTGAAGTGAACCGTCTTCGAAAGGGAACTAGTACTCCACACAGCCGCTTAAAGGGATAGTACTTTGTTAGTAACTTTTATTACTGCAAAAAATGTGTATATATATTGGAGGGTTGATAGAGGAATATGGGTAACAAAACAGTTTTGGTTACCATTGACTTCCTTTGTATTGTTGATATAGATAGATTTTTAAGCATTTCACATATTCCAAAATAGTAACTCAAGGCAGTAACAAATTTAAACAATATATTTTATTTGTGAACTTATGCAGCTATTCTTTTTAATAGTTAACTTTTAACAATTTTAGATTTTCCCCAATACCTGCAATGCAGATGAAGATGGGGAAAATACCTTTCTCTGTCTGTAGACTGAAAGTAAAAATGGCATATTGGGTCAGTTTGAAGGGATGTGATATAAACAGTGGTGGACTAAGTACACAAATCAAGTACTTGAGTAAAAGTACAGATCCGTATAATAAAATATTACTCCAGTAAAAGTACTCCTTTTTCAATTTTACTCGAGTGAAAGTACAAAATAACTCGATTTTTTTATGTACTTATGTAAAAAAGTACTGCAATTTTATATAGGCTACTTAATTTAATTTTATATTAGCACATATTTTTTTATAATCCTGCTGCTCAAAATACCTGGGATTTTCCCAAAATAACCACTATATGGAGTCAAGATATATTTTTGTTGTTGATATGGACTACGTTGACGAGAGTGATGTAGTAATGTTCACTGTGAAGCTTACACTACGATGTACCTGAGAGAAAACAGATTTGACCATCTGATTTTCAGCAGTAAGAAAAAGGTGTTTTAAAGCTTGTTGTTTTGCAGAACATCACAGTTATATATGACATTAGAATAAGGCCTGAAGTTAGGAAGAACATTTTAAGGAAAATATAATAATATTTTCATAATGATTTTTTTCTTCTCAAACCTCGTCTGTGGTGTAAAAACACCCCTGGCCAAATGCCCCCAGAGGGCATCACTTCCCACTTTTATATTTACTGTAGTTACCATGTTCTGAACGTCACATCCTTTATTTTCCCCTCAGATGTAATCTATCTTGGTGGTTGAATAAAAATATTTGGACTTTATATCTAAACATTACCTCAATTTAGCACCAGCAAGCTTGTTAGCTAGACAGTTAGCATCAGCTGACAATATTTACTTATTTTCAGTATGGTTATGAATAAACATTAATATCTGTCTACTCCACTAGTTAATCCAAACATTATAAAAATGTATACTGTTGATAAACAATATAAAAACAGACGTCACATAGGGCTAAATGCGTAGCATTTTAATAAAACTGTTACGGCAGCGGGGAATATGAACGTGCATGAGTTTTTTTTATTTAATCTGTGTTATTTTAATGTTTCGTTTTTTTTACCTAAAACATAGAGAAACTGATGTTGATGTGTCTGCATTCAAACATTTCAGTGAGCTTAAATAGATCACCCTTTACAGCAGATTTAGTTCACAAACAACTGACAGTTTTGACCTAAATATGATCTTCAGTTACAATAATTAATCCTAAAATTCGACATTAGTAACTTACTTTTAGCAGCATCAGACGAGCCTTCGCACTCAAGATCTCCCGGTTCTTACTTGTGAATTCAGTTCACTGGAGACTCGCACTAAAGTTGTCGACTCGAGAACAGCTGCAATCGGATCATTCTAACTCGTGAATGAATCGTTTAGTGCGATTTCCGAACCGATTTAAAAGGTTCATTAAAAAGAATCAGTTCGTTCGTGAATCAGACACCGCTTCTGCGTGTCGGAGCCATAGGCTGTGTCCGAAATCGCCCCCTATACCCTTAAATAGGGAACAATTTGAGGGAACAGTCATTTTTAGTGGTGTCCGAAACCATAGTGGACGTTCTCGAGTGCACTCATTCAGTCCCACAATGCACTGCAAAAACGAGTGTACAACTGGTGCACGCTCAACGGCTACAGAATACCCATAATGCACCGTGAGAGTCACGCGCCGAATGAATTCCCGCATCTCGCCAGAAGATGGCGCCCACAGCTGAATAATCAATCCGTTCATTTTTACAAAGCGCTCATCCATGGCGTACAGCATAATGTACAACACCGGTATAAATGCATTGTAAATTGATTATTAAATTGTTTGATTAGGGTTTATACATAATTTCCATGACAGAGTTCAAGATAAATCCTTTAATCTTACTACTGGAGCTGCTAGTTTACTAGTTTCAAATGATTAATAAACAGCAAGCACAAACTATGCAAAAGCGGCATTCCTTCTCGTGCACTCAGTGTCCGAATTCACTACTCGTTTTCATTCACTCCTTCTAGTGAACTGAATTAGTGACCTAATGTAGGGAATAGTGAATGAGGGTATAGGGGGCGATTTCGGACGCAGCCATAGACTGTATAAACATGGATGTAGTGTCTGTGACGTAACCCGTAAACTTCCGACGAGCGTTTTGAAGCCTGAAGTAGGTGGAGCCAGCCGTCGCCATCTTGGCAGCGCGTCACCGCGCGTCACTCTCGGATAATCGAAAATGGGCAAAGAGGCGGGAGCTGGCTGCTGAAACCACGCCCACCTAGCTCGACGGCGGTGACAGCAGCGGCAATCCACCTGTCACTCAAGTGGCCACGCCCTTAATTATGCAGAACTTTAAGGCTTAATATAATTTAAACGGATGAGTTATAAAAAAAATTCACCCCCTCACAGTTGTCATGAAGGGCAAAATTAGCTATATCCCTGATAGCACACGTACATCTCGGAGACCTCTATTTGATGCTTGCATTTACATCTGCAAGACGTATTTTTTTGAGTGTTTGCTCATCTGCTATACATCTATAGGACGATTCTTTTTAGATGTCAAATAGACGTCTATTAGATGTCTTTAAGATTTTTGTGATTTAGAATGCATGTACAACTGACATCTGAAAGATGCCTGTCAGACGTTTATAGACAGCAGATGCTTTCCAGATCAAGAGATCTTTAACAGAGATATTGCAGACGTACGTGTGCTATCTGGGATAGACCAAAATAATTTTTTGAACCAGGCTGTAAACATGTTATTTTCTGCTGTAAATTTGGGCATTTTAACATGAGGGCCTTTCGCACCGCAGGAACCTTTTCATAGTACCAGAACTAATTGTGGAACTACCCACTTTTCTGCGTGTTCGCACCACCGGTACTGGGAGCGATTTTAGTACCGGACTGCCTTTTTCGAGAACCAAATTAGCTCCTACTCCGGAGCAGGGTCTAACCAGCACAACTGGTACTAATCGTGACGCAAGTAAACATTGATTGGCCAAACCAATTTAAAACTCAGTGTAAACATACTGTAAGCATGTCAACTTATTTCGCAAGTATGGAGAACAGCGATAGATGGACGGACGCTGAATTGTGTGTCTATTCAATCGTTTTTAATGAAGCGCATGACAGCAGTAGCTGAAGAAATATTTAACGCTCTCAAAGACAATATCATTGAATACGAGCAGGAGATAGAGCGCCTGAAGCAGGAGAATTGTTGTCTGAGGAGCGCACTTACTGAAACGCGCCATGGTCAGTCAAACATTCACTTTAAACTATTTTAATTTTCTCGGTCCGTGTAAATACCATGCTGTTTTAGGCATGAACAATGATAGTACTATGGAATTAATTGAAATACTTTGTACCACGTAACCATCATGCTATATGCATATCGGTCAGTCATTATAAGCTGTAACCTTATATTTATCAACGCCAAACCTTAAGTGTACTTAGCTCATATTGTAATGAGTGCCAATAATTATATAAATTTCATTTAAATGATAATTATTACTTTTTTTTAAATTGAACACTGTAAAGCCTGACATGTGAAATAATAGTAGGCTATAACCAGGGCTGCATTAAAGGGGTCATATGAAGCTGCTAAAAAGAACATTATTTTGTGTATTTGGTGTAATGAAATGTGTTTATGCGGTTTAAAGTTTAAAAAACACATTATTTTCCACATACTGTACATTATTGTTTCTCCTCTATGCCCCGCCTTTCTGAAACGCATCAATTTTTACAAAGCCACTGGCCAGCTATCCAGTGCGTTGTGATTGGCCGAATACCTCACGCAATGTTACGCCCCTCACCATACTGTTGATGCCTTGTCCATCATCCAGTGGGGACATAATTACTGATTATAATGACTTATACTGTCTTTTTACGCGTTGCGTTGCATCGTGTCGCGTAAACATAAAACCCTGTCTGCATTTGTGATCGGAGAAATGACAAACAACAAGTGCTACTCTACACTGCTCAAAACTCGCGTTTGAATCATCAGTGGCAAATTCTTTAAATGAAAACGTACTTACAGACTGTGAGTCAGAACTGCAGGCATTGTAGTCTACTCTCCCAGGATCAGTAAACAGTCCTCCATAAAATGTGCTGCACACATCTTGATATTTGGGTTAAACTGTTCTGGAACAGTGTTGTAAATACAACTTAACCATTGATTTGTAGTCGTGTCCTCTTAAAAGTAGTTTCGCTTTCACAACGAAAAACACGGCGGCCTAGCGTGAGCGGAAGCCAAGACTTAGTGTGAGCTGAGGCCAGGCTAGAGTGAGCAGAGGCGGTGGGGTCGAGAACGGCACGCCCGGCGGATTCGACGAAGGAGCGTCAACCACATGTGATGACCCCGGGCTGGACTCCGCTTCGTCCACAGTGAAAACCGATCCGGCGATCCACAGCACTAAGTTGATGTATTTCCTCAGCGACCAGCACAGATCAGCTCTAGGCATGACGGAGCGGATATCGTCCTCTTTTGGAAGGCCAAACAAAGTAGTTTCGCTTTCACAACGAAACACGGCAACAACAATACTACAGTGAGAATAAAAGTTACACATTCTTTCTTTGCGTGAACATTTGGGCGACGTTATGCAAATCTTCCCACATAGTGACGTAGACATGTGGGGGCGTGTTAGAACGAGCCGTTTTAGATAGGCGACTTTAGTCTTTGCAACTTTACAGATATTCTGTATGCACCAAGAGCTTGTAACACTCCAAAGAGAAAGGAAAAATTGAAATCGCATCATATGACCCCTTTAAACTGTTTTAACTTTGCATGGCTACATCTCATGTGTGAGACGTGAGTGCAGCAGTCATATTTGTCCGTCTAAAAAATGCGCTGAATATGTGTTCTGTGGGAATGACTTGGTTCTTTCAAGATCTTCTCCGCATTGAGCTTCTATATTTCTCTAATATTT